CCCCTCGACTTAAGGGTACGGGACTATCTTGAGGTAAAGCTTGGAAAGACGAAATTTTAAACCGTCACCTACAGTGCAGATCCTTGGAGTCGTTGATGTTGGCCTATATTGGTTGCGTCAGTTATCTGCCACTGTGAAACGACGTGAAAGGGCGTAAGTAGGTTTTGCCACATTGAGCCATCAGCTCCCAGTTCAAACCAAATATGTTGTGATTGAAGGGGTCGTTCATCCTCACATAACATGCTGCCTCACAGCGCGGGATGGCTGCTCTCAAACCCGAAAACTTAGGATCCCAAAAGCGTCAAATTTTGACGTCAGAATTTTCGATGGAACCAAAGGACACCAGTATGTTTCACGCACTTAGAACGCTTGGGTTGCCCAAAATTAACGAACTTTTGGCCGAGTGCGATCTTTTGGCTCTCGATCACCTAGTAAGGTTGCCACCCGCACCAGAGAGTTTACATGCCCCTGTGGTCCTGCGCGCAAAGGACCAAATCCCTTGACTTTAAATAACGATCAAAATCTAGAAGATCCGCAGTTTCCATGTCTTTCACCCTGACGGAAGTCAGGTCTGACCGTTCCACGAACTGCACCAAAAAGCTTCATTTCCGGGAATCGTGATCTCCATTTTAAAAAGGCACTTAATGTCATGGGCACCACAGACCAGGGCGTATCCAGAGGGGGAGGTGGCATGGGCCACGCCTCTTGCCTGTGGGTCCCATTAGGCTTCGGTGTCTCGAAGAGTCACACAAATTACACGGTGAAAGGGCACAAAAGAGTGTCGTTTCTGAACCACATAGCCTGTATTTTCACCAGCCACCAAGTCTCAGGGGCGCCACGAGGGGTCCGAGATCTTTGATTTCGTGTCACCAATCTCCGGGGGCACACCACAATTCCGTGCCGTGTCCCTTGACGAAATCTTGGATCGGCCTATTCGACGAGGCAACACCAAACAGATCGTTCCGGGGCACCATAACCTTTATTTTCAAGAGGAACGCAATTTCAGTGACACCTTAAAGGGTCCCAAGCCTTGCTTGTCAAGAGAAAGCATATTCCAGGGGACACTTCAATGCCCGTGTACCTTTGTTGACGAAATCCTGTATTGGCCCATCGGGCAAGGGGGATATGAAAGCTTTTCTTTCGGGTCGTCGTCGTATTTTCTATAGGCAGCAAAGCGAAGTGGGCGATTGAAAGGGACCCGAAACCTACCCTTTAAGCGGCACTAAAATCCAGGGGCACAAAAATTTCTTTGCCTTCCACTCTGACGAAATCCTGGGTCGGTCCCTTCAGCGAAATGGTACCAAAAACCTTCATTTCGGGGCATCATAGAATTTATTTTCAAGAAGCGCCCAATGACAAGGGGACAAGACAAAGAGGCCATAACCTTCACTTTAAGGTAATGTCGAATTCCAGGGGTACAACAAACGGCCTCAAAATTCACGGGGAACCGAATTTTAAGGGCGTCACCATAAGGGGCGCAGGAAGCGGGGGACGGGATGAAAGCACTTAACCCCGCCCCCCAGTCCCTTAGGCCCGATGATTCCGAGGCGCTCTTTGACCCGCTTGGGGCCAATGATCAGGGGCCCGATTAGAGGGTCTGAAGGGCAGGCCGAAGGTCCTATGAAGGACCTTGCATCGATCGGAGGCACCCTGGGACAGTGAGGGCCTCTATTTAAGTCAGCTGACTGAGACCACCAATAGGGACAGGGAGGGGCCCCCGAATGTCAAAGGGCTTCTTGTGCTGGCCCTCTTGACAATAGAAGAAGATTCGAGAAATGAAGATGCAAGGCTTCGCATTCACAATAAGACAGTGAAAAGGTCCCATGTCAGAGACCCCAGGACCGAAGAAGTAGAAGAAGACCGTACCATATCAGCCAGGGGTCGATCAGACAAACTGGTGTCTCGGTACCAAGGATTTGACTTCCTGCGCCGTGGTGCGTCTCTCTGAGGGTCTCTGCCGACCAGGGGGCCACTGCTCCGTATCGCCAGAATGACAGCCGCGAGGGACCTCAGGATGCCAGGATGGATTGGAATGCCGTTCAGCTCCTGATCAGAATATTTTAACGGTGCAAATTTTAAGCTGCAGATTTTCGAATTCAGCTTTGCTTCTCTGAGCAGAATTAGCAGTTACAGCACCACGAGCAGGAGAACTCATTTTATTGCGTCATAAGTTCGTGCTACGGTATGTGGTAATCCATTCCAAGTATCAATCCGAAAATCGCACAGGTGAAACGTGCGGCCCCGGATACTTTTTCACGTATACCAACTGATTGCGTAAAGCGTTGGAAAGTACAGCTTTTCAATACATGGTTACTTTTGCTGGTTCATCGGCCGCCGCCAGATATTACTGCGAGACCAACGACGCGCGACCCAAGGAGACTGCAACGCCTGGTATCAGTGTTTTTTCCCTTGGTGTCTGGACATATCAATGCCAATTTGAACCCTGTTTTGACCCATGCTGGTGTTCAACCCAAGGGCTCCTCGTCAGCTTTGGAAAGCCTGTAGAAATTCAACAACGCCCCTGGCTGTTATTGTTTGATGAACAGTGTTAATTGAAATCTTATTAGCTGCTTCAACGCCCGCTGTTCATTTCATAGCCATTTAATTCTGCTTTGTTTCATTTTTTTGCTTTTGAATATATAAAAACTATTTTCTAGGGGCCATCCCAGCAGAAGATAGTTAGAATCTGGAAATGAAGGGGGCAAAATCCAGGGACTCTGTCTGTGTGTGGGGGGTGGCACTAAGTCCCTGGGAGCACCACAGTGAAGTGTGGCCCATCTTTGACGAAATCCTGGATCCGCCTCTGTCACTTCCAAGTCGTAATAGCCTTAGCTCTGGCCAAGGATACCCTGGATCAGAGCATAGGATCGGATCTGCAGCTGAGCCAGAAAAAAGAAACTCGAAGCCGATAAGTTGGTGACCCTTGAAGGGATCGGCCAGTCGGATTTGGGTGTTTCTGAAATATTTGTTGGCCTTCCGGGTCTATACGTGGCGTCCTCCTATTTATGTAAAACACAATTATGTCTGTAGCAAAACTTATGACGGACACATATCATCGCATGACGGTTATTCGTACGTGTCACTTCGTATGCAAACCTTCGCTCAACAATTTTTGTACGCGTCTTTCGCATCTAGAATCATATACAAATCGCGGTACACAAATTCTCGTGTCCACAGAACATGGAAATCGCAAATCCATGCTTACTCGATGTATGGGTTGTACGATGCGGAGCTGCAGGCGATGACGTGCGCGGTACGTAAGCGTGTAAGCACGTGCGTGACGTAAGCGCGGGGCACTAAATTTCGTTTGGACACATCCTCCACATCCAAGTCACTTTATGTCCTTTTGGGGAGCCTAATGTTGACTTGAGCCCCTCCCCATTGCTCCCTGGGCTTCCTCGATTCAAATGAGCAAAGAGGGAAGATTGGGCCAAATGAATGTATGGAACACATCACTATTAGCCCTGTGTTCAGTTTAAACCAGAAATTATCCTGTTGGCACCACCCACGCCACCCGCGACAGCAGCAGCGCCGGCAGTGCAGACGTCAACAGCAGCCTTCCGCCGCGCAACGGCAACAGCATAGTCAGCGTGCCGACTTCTGAACAGTATGCAGATACTGTGGAAGAGCACGTCACGTGTCTCCGAAAGATTGTCCCGCTAAGGGAAAAATCTGTGACAACTGTCAGAAAATGGATCATTTTGCATCTGTTTGTCGCTCCAACGGTGCCAGAGCGATTGAGCGGACAGAGTCCATTGAACAACTATCGCCGCCCAACAATTTTGTTGGCGAAGTACGCAAAGCTTGCGCGCCGTGGAGAGTTACAGTCCT